GATGGGAGCAGGGGTGTAGTTTCTCGATTTTTGGGGGCGGATGAGCTTAAATTATGATTAATGAAACGTATTACTTAAGAATAATGACTAAAAATAGGAAATCATGTCCATGGTTAGAAGGCTCAATCCCTTCCCATAACTGAATAGGAAACTATAAGCATCTTGGCGAGTTATGTTAAGTATGTCTTTATGTGATAATTTTATTAGTTTAGCCTCAACCATCATTCAGTGTTTGATGGGCAGGAAATGATACTAAAGCGCAAAAAAACTCCCGAATCAAAAATATTTGATAGTTATGCAGCACTGCATTAAACTTGTCTTTGCTTTTGTGGCTTATTGCATTAAGAGTTTTACTGCGGCGGATTCTGAAATATTTGGCTCCAGGCGACAACTTCGACGGTTCCAAATGTTGTCGGTGACAGAAAAAGCATTTTCTCATCCCAGCCGTAGCCGGTAGCTGAGTACCGGGCGGTGCCTCGATGCGCTGCTTACCTTGGTGTTGTTGGTGATCAGCCGTAGCCGGTAGCTGGGCACCAGGCGGTGCCTCGATGCGCTGCTTACCTTGGTGTTGTTGGTGATCAGCCGTAGCCGGTAGCTGGGTACCGGGCGGTGCCTCGATGCGCTGCTTACCTTGGTGTTGTTGGTGATCAGCCGTAGCCGGTAGCTGGGCACCAGGCGGTGCCTCGATGCGCTGCTTACCTTGGTGTTGTTGGTGATCAGCCGTAGCCGGTAGCCGGGTACCAGGCGGTGCCTCGATGCGCTGCTTACCTTGGTGTTGTTGGTGATCAGCCGTAGCCGGTAGCCGGATACCAGGCGGTGCCTCGATGCGCTGCTTACCTTGGTGTTGTTGGTGATCAGCCGTAGCCGGTAGCCGGGTACCAGGCGGCGCCGGTTGACGTGCTGCAGCGCCAGCCGCGCCGCCGCCAGATCGGCGCGCCCTTCCAGCGGGCCGCGACCGCAAGCCGTCGCGCACCGCGGCGCGTCCAGGTCGAATAGGCCGAGCACGGAAAGCGGACGTCGTGGGCGGCCCAGCTCGGCGGCGCCCCCAGCGGTCTGCAACGGCGTCAGCAGCAGCAGCCGCAACGGCAGCAACAGCAGCAGCGGCGGCGGCACGATCATAGCGGCCGCCCATACCAGAAGAAGGTCGCCCGGCCTCAGTCCCACCTGCAACATGGAGAGCCCGTCATTCCTAACGAGAAAAGGAGACGAAACGCATATGGTAGTGGTAGGGGTGATCACAGCTGCTCAGTTTGGCAGCGCAGCGGACTTTAGCGGGAGAATCCTGAGTTTGATTCCCGGAGGATGCTACGTCCGCAGGTTTAATGCACCGCCGTAGTCGCTGGCGCTCCATGGATAGGAGTCGCAGCTGCTGATGATAGCATGTGGTGATCCACATAGGATAACGTATGCTGAAAGCCGATGACGACTGCCACGCAATGAATGTCGCCGGTTGCCATTAAATGAAGGCTGTGGTGGCGGCAAGCCATGGTGCCGAGTGTGATTTGAATTCAAGTCTTCTGGCGCCGGCCTCTGGTCGCTGGGGCGGCAAACCACGGCGCGTCCACCTGTGCCGCGGCCATCGCCACCCCACGAGAGCCACGTCGCATTCGTCTCGCGTCTGTTCATCGATCCCGGGCCAAACGACACCCGCAGCGCCGGCAAACATCGGGCCGTGACGGACGTAGCGCAGTCGAGACAGAGGCGGTGCCCGGCGTCACCACCACACACCGCCCGCCGCCACCGGTGACGCGGTGTGGTGACCCCCTCACAAGGAGATGATGTGAGGCGCGCGCTTGGCAGTCACACTTCAACATGCATTTACCACATTGTGGACGACGGGTAGATTGCCGCGATCGTCGTCTGTCTTCGAGAGCTGCGTAACATCATTGTAGGGAGATTACAGGTGGTGATGGTTGCTTTTCATCGACAGTTTGAGATGGAACCCACTCAACGTGCTGTGTACTGTTTACACCGAAATTGTTATGGTTCAACGTAGCATATGCCCTAATGTCACTCTTAATATAAGTTTATAATTACGCAATTACATTCGGTTACTCTAACCGCGGCTTCTCATCATAGAATTACCTTCGGTTGTTTTAAAAGGGTGTCAGACCCTTTTTTGGTTTTCAAAAAAGCGCCTGCATGCTTTTCGACCAGCCTTCATTTGTTGGTAGCATTGAAAAGTTAATTTATGGCTTAGAACAACGATAATTTAATAAAATGACTCTTCTCATCTACGGTATCGATGGCTGTAAGCGCTGAACGAGTGCGAACGCAGCTCTTTAAGAAGACCATTGCACCAGTCAGCGGAACGGAACTGTCTCGACCTGAGCGTGTGACAATGACGCGTCCGAAACCCTGTTCACAACGCACAACCGGAATAAGCCACCTAGGTGACTTTCATGGGTGATCCCAGGTTTGTGTTACTAATAAGTGTGGTAATGCGATACAATTCGTTTCATAGCATGTTTTCTTCATTGCCCAGCTAAAATGTTCAGGTGTTGTTCCGTAGTACTTGTCCAGCAAAATTTGCTGCGCGAACTACCCTGACTTCCACTCTGACAACCAGCATGGGCCTTCTTCCGCCCCCGCGCGTCTGCACTGGCCACCGTAGCCCAAAAGTGGCCAGATTGTAAGCTGCCTAGGTGGGTCACGTTTTCAATCGATCTTAGAGGAAAGTGAAAAGGTAGCTCGAAGAATGCGATCCACTGCGGATGAAGCGGAAAAAGCATTGCGTGTATCTTATGATATCTTGTTACGAAAGCTGGCAAGAGCGCTGGTTATGAAACAGGAGGATCGATGTTTGATTGTGTTGTAAGGTATGATTTGCTTTGCGACGTGATTCCATGCGATCGTGTGGTACACAATTCAGCGATAATTTTCAATTCATCGGTACCTTGCTTACCTCAATTAATCGTCCGCTGCGCTGATATTGCTGTCAGACTTTTGGTCACATAAACAGAGGGTGGTGGCTGGCAATTTATGTAGTAATGGCATCCCTTGGCGCTCAAATGGGAGTTGGTTGGTGTTCGAAGGAGAAGTCTCTCTTAAAGTTAGGAAGACATTTCCGAAGCCTCAGCTCACCAGAAGGCTCGCAGTTTTCTATGATTTGCTATTGAAACCTTGTATGGAGCTAGAATATCGCGGATATTGTGTTGCATTATTTTTGTCGGGGTCTTTGAATGCTATAAATTGTGTGGAAAATTTTAAGTTTTTACAATGCTCTCATTTGGAGGGCCAACAAAAGTGGAACATTATGTTCAAAATTGACACTGCCATGCTGTGCCTACTTTAATTTTCTACTACAGGACACAACAAAATTGTTCCCCAAAACCAGGAATCAAGATGAAATGGCTGATTCTGCTCCAAAGGGATGGGTAACTTACAGACACATAAATACAAGGGCGGTCCTTTTTTGGCAATTTTGTTATGAGATGACAAATGTGAACTTATATCAGGGTAGAGTCAGAAACATGATGAGAAGCAGAAAAGTTGTACGAGAACTGGCAACGCCTTTAGCTTGTGCACACCATCCAAGAAGAACGAGGACTTCCTGCCCAATGCTAGAGCCATTTTCAGGTAAGGTTGGCGATTTTGTGGTGCCTCCCCAATTATAGCACAGCAGCAATCATAGTGCTGTGCTCAATCTGTATAACTGAGCACAGCACTATATAATATGTTGGATTGTGCAGTAGTTATATCATTTCTTAACCAACAATTGTCACACCGGGTGGTCATCATCATTTCCATGCTTGCGTCAGATGAGACATGCCTGCTATTGCAATTAAACCATAATTTTCCTTAGAAAATAAAACGTACTGTGTAGAAACCAAAACGTACCAAGCGACTCTGCGTCTTGCAGGGTTCAGCAGATGCACTACAGGGAACCACAATGGGAGGGCGCTGCTGCGAATTAATTACAAACGTCCTGATCTCCCCAGAGCACTGTGGAAGTCAGTCGGCGGCGGCGGATGCGTTTATCTCCTGCAGATCTGGTGCATCAAGGCGTAAACGGGCCAGCGGGAGAACAATCCGAGGGCGCTCTTCAACAGCCGCCGCGGAGCGGTCAGAGTGATCGCTGAGCACTCGACTGGGCGGCTAAAGTCCCGCCGGCGCCGCGTTCTGAAGCGGTGAGAGCACCGCCACTGCTGCGTCCTGCGACCGCATTCGCAGTGGCCGTGCTCCGTACTCGTGCTCCGAAACGGCGGGGAGGGGAGTACCGGTCACAAACGAACGGCCAGCGGCGGGCGGCATGGTGCCGATCGACCGAGGGTGACACTTGCACTGTGGCCATTCGCGAGTACCTGAAGAATGCGTGCGCCACGGAGCCCCGCATCAGTCAAAGTCATCCTGACGGAGCCCGAGTACCTCGCGGTCGGTGGCGGCTCCCGCACTCCCGTTCACCACAGAATTTCTCTGAATTGGTCGTAACTAGACGCCACCCGGTGTTGGCACCGAGCTAGAGGGATGGACTTGCGCTGTGTGTGTGTGTGTGTGTGTGTGTGTGTGTGTGTGTGTGTGTGTGTGTGTGTGTGTGTGTGTGTGTGTGTGTGTGTGTGTGCGTGTGTGTGTGTGTGTGTGTGTGCGTGTGCGTGCGCGTGCGTGCGTGCGTGTGTGTGTGTGTACGTGTGCGTGTGCGTGCGCGTGCGTGTGTGCGTGTGCGTGTGTGAGTGTGTGTGATGGTGACCGCGGCGAGCGGCCGCGGAACCGCGCCAACTCGTGGTCAGCGGCCTCTGCCGGCGGCGCGGTGAGCACTCGCTAAACGTGACGCTGCTTGCTGGCGGCCCCGATAGAGAACAGGCCGGACGTAGTAGCCCGCTGGGCCGGGTCCCAGCCTGAGCTGCACCACACGCAGCACATCGACATCGGGTGCATGCAGGCTTGAGCGATGGGAAACGACGCGCTGGTCATGACACGCGGCCACCAATTACGGCAGGACATACGGGGTGGGCACCGGACGGATCTGCAGGAGATAAACGCGTCCGCCGCCGCCGACTGACTTCCACAGTGCTCTGGGGAGATCAGGACATTTGTAATTACACCGCACCACCAATACCACCGATACGGCCGCCTGGAACAAGACCAGCCCGCTGGTCGAGCGGCAGGGCCACCGGTGCACCGCGCTCGACGCCTGCCTGCGCCGAGTGCGGCAGACTGCTGTCCGGAGGCGGTCGCTGGCTGCGGCCGGCTGTCAGAGGCCAGTTTCCGCTCACATTACGTCCTGGTGCTGGCTGTACATGGCAGTACTGAACTGGCTATAAACGACGACCCAAACCGGTCACGCACATTCGCGACTGCCGCCCTCTGCGTCATTTCGACGACATCTAGAATGCACTCACACAGCTGCTTAAGAGCTTTCATCTGAAGTCAGCCTTAGAAACGCGACCTGCTGAGACTGTGTTGCGACGACGCGGTTATGGCCTGCGGGGTGATCTGACGCAGCAGCGTCGGCCGCCGACCGGATTCTGCTGGAGGCGTGCCTGCCGTCGGCGTGAGGCGACGGTCCCGGCGCAATGCTCGCGCTCAGGGTGGCCGTGCGTCTGTACCCGCACACTCACCCTCACCCGCAACAGGTGTGGCTCTGGGCACTGCTGAGAGCCGCACTGCCGCAGCTGCGACCTGAGCTATCAGAAGACGCCGACATCACCGCCAACGACGCCGCCCAGCACCTGGAAACGGCGGCCAACGAGGAGAGCGTCGGCCCGTCACGTCCGGTCTGCCCCGTCGGGAGGCCTGGGGCTGCTGGAGATCAGCCTCCTCCCCTCCTTGCCCGACACAGATGAAGGTGAACCACGCCTTGCGTGGATAGGTTTTGGATCATGTCCCGTCTTAGCGCGGCAATTTTGTCGCCGGTCGTGAGTCCGGTGCCCACCGCGTGTGTCCTGCGCCCGTCGCCGACGCTGCGGTGCAGAGGACCGGGAATGACAGCAAAACCGAAGCGTTGGAGCCATACATAACTACAGATTATTTTACTCGCAGTACCTAGATTGCCTGGCCACGGGCTGTTAAAGGACGTCCGGTCAGGCGCTTAAGCGTGTACAGGCGTTTGGAGGGCCGCGATTAAAACTGTGCCTTTGACTAGTCCCCACGCGCCGTTGGCCTGGTCATCCGGAACGCGGCCGAAGACAGAGCTTTCGCCTGGCTGCTCCATAGTCGGTGGGCGTACTCTGTCAGACCCAGCAGCCTGCCAGTGACAGCACCTACCCGTCTGCTGTCTGGGCCGCTGGTGCCATCTAAGCGCGTGCGCTGATGGCTGGGTCTCAATCTGACATGTCTGCAGGTGGACCGGATGCTTCACAGCCAGTTGCTCACCGACGAGGACACAGCGGTTCAGCACGCCGTGCTGCGCCGGCCAGACTGCGTTGTTGCTTTGTGTGACCTAGTGATGGCGCGCCTGGACCGGCTGGACACCGAGCCGGATCGGCGACAGGTCGTGCTCCGTTGGCTGCTCCGCCTGCGCCTGGCGACCGGCTGGCGTACCCGCTTTTCGCTAAATGTACAGAACACAGAAACCGCCAGCACAGACAGAAAGAATACGAGTAGAGGTGGTAAAATCTTCCAACTTGGTGGATAAGACCGGCGAAAAAATGTATTCATTCAGGGGAAGCTTGGCGTCAACAAATTTTGGGCAGGAAATTTAACTGACAGCCACGACCGAATAAAACTGAATTATCTGAAAAACTATAATGAGGTCTCCATACACGTACATATTTCGTCACGCAACACGAGCAAACCTTTTCGTGGAGTCCCTTTACCGTACCCGACGGCAACATGATGCCTTTCTAGGTTTCATCTCAACCCAGGGACAAAATTACACCATGGTTTTCAGTTGGTCGCTCGCTTTGATAACAGGTCGGCAACAAAGCAGTGTATTTCTCATGGCACGGCGGGTCGGCCAACTCGATTTTTTACAAGCCGACTCACAAGGTCCCAAATAGACAGTAAAGAGTGCTGAAAAAGGTCTAGATATTGGGATTCATTTGGCCGCAAGGGTGTGTTTCAGTTGCTACGATGTGACTGACATGAGGTGAGCGGCGACTTTCAATGCACCGCGACTTCATAAGCGGCATTCGCATTGCAGTGTCATAACTGCCTGCCTAGGATTTGATTTGTTGGGCCTTGTTTACTTCGTTGGCGGTGCCGCGATTCAGCATACTGCCCTCAGCGACGAGAGGCATTGACAGTATAGGGTAAGCCGGCGAGATGATCCGATCAGGTTAGAAATTGCCTTATGATTATCCAAACCGCCTTTTCAAGACACTAAAAAGGCTGTTGACACTTTAGCAGTCACAAGCGACCAGCCTTCCTCCCTCTGAAATGAGCCATGGATGCGATGTTGAAGTCTGATGGCACTCGTTATGAAAGGGAGTGGCTGGAGGCGCTATTGGTTCTGAGGTGCATATTTATGCCATTTTTGCTTGCATTATGCCATTTCCGGCCGTTTGCAAATTAAGATGAATAGAAACATGTAAAAGTGAGCTGTTATTGACGAGATCTTACAGTTGGTAAGAATTGTCTTCTTGTTAACTGACCCTTCTAGACCAGGTCCAAGATAAAATTTTCCTGAAAATCAATCTATTTCAGCTTGCATGCTCATATTTACGAAACCAGGACGCGTAGAGACATTGCACGAAAAGTAAGCGTATTTCTTGTTCGATTATGAGTACAACTGTGCGTAGTTTTATCTGTTTCGTGTCTTCATTTATCATGCAGGGCTTCGTGACTGTAAAAGTGCCAGACCGCAGCGCGGGGTTCACAAAATCGTCGCATGCCGGGTTGGACTGTCTTGCAGTGCTCTTAAAAGGCATTGCCACTCCGAAACCGAAATTGCAAGGGGCACGTTTCGGGTCTAAACATACACGCAATGAATGCCCCAGAGGCCACTTAAAATGTGAGCGAGCCAACAAAATATGTCGGTCTTGTATCCTCAGAAATCTTTAGGGGAGGGGGGCGTCGCACCACCCTTCCCCTCCTGTCGGGGCGACTTTGTTGTTGGGGAAGAACTAGCAGCGTGATGTAAAGTTATTAACAAATTCCAAGGCAACTTACTTGTTGGGGCACGGCTTTTTGAAACGGCTGTTGTTGAAAGGCGCGTACTAGGTTCATGACGTGCTATCTGGACCGCCGAACAGTTACCTAGATTGTCCGAAAAAAGCTATGGGTACTACTGTCATTGCCTCGCTTTAATCACGCGGCCTTCCACGCGCAGGTCTTCAGACATGTTACGCGCTTTTCGTACACGCATCAGGTGTATTTTCATGACTGGACCCAGCATTTTGAGGGATACCAACCTTTTCGCAGATGTTTGTGCCTGGTGCGTAATAAGCGACCCATGATCTTCTTGAATGAAAAACCAGATTTCCCACATTGTTGTGTGATGTTTTTGCACGACACTCGTGCCGGACGAGCCACCACGCGGTAGCGAGATATGCAAGTAAAAACGAAGAAACGTGGACAAACCTTTCTTTTGTCGTGGGTGGATTAGAGCCGCCGTTATTCGTTTGCCCTTACGGAGAGATCTAAATCATGTGGTTTTTCGCGAAGCTTATCAATGACTAGTGCAATGATTACGATGGGTAGCAAAGATGGTAATGAATGAATATTTTAAGGTGTCTGTTCGCAGAAAATTCCCTGAATGTATCAAAGTGGGTGTTTAAAGCAGCTACTGCAATTTCACTCCATATATTACTTGAAAGCACCCATTAGGATAACGTCACATTATCCGTGAAGTGGGATAGTTGCCAATTTTTTTCCTATGACACCACATAAATTGTTGACATTTCAAAGCTATTTTCTCTCATGCAAGTGGACTACCGCTCACACTCCTCCACAGGCAGTCCCATGTTCAGGGTGTTCAGGGACAGGTCTCGGTGCTGCAGGTCGAATCTAGTTGAGACGAGCAGGTTGTTGCTGATTTTGACCTTCCGTCTCAAGATCTTCTTCAGCTGCCCTTCCAGCTGTGGCGGCCTGCCAGATTTTGCCACGTGGATGTTCATCTTCAGGAATATCCGGCCGAAGGCACACAGCATCAGGTGCATCTCGCCGGCAATGACCCAGCTGGTGGCGATTTGGCTTAGCAGCGTGCAGCCCTTCATGTCTTGTCAATCTGCTGCCTTCATTTTCGATTCCTCGGTGTCTGGCTCAGGGCGACAATGGGGTCGATGATGCGCAGCTCCCCTGTTCGGTGTGCTTTCTGGTCTTGTGGACGCACCGTCCACATAAACAATCATAAATGTGCGGACATAAAAAATCACGCACATCTCCGACCATACCGAGCACCAGCAAGACAAACTTGGGGTTAGCGCCCCGGTAGAATTGGGCGGTAATACCGTTGGTGTCGCGCAGGTCCCCAAGCCTCTTGTCGATCCGCATCAGAACGGCTACCAGCTCGGGATTCTCGTCGCCCTCGTCACGTTTGGCGCAGGCCACGACGCTCACCGACCGTTGGACGACAGTGGACGGATCAGTTCCACGGCGATGTTGACGTACCTGACCTCTCGGTAATTCGTGCTCTCGCCACTGATTTTGAACCAGGGTCCGTCAGGTCGATCAACCTTCCGCCCGGTCAGCGAGCACATTACGGCTGCCAGCAGGGGCGACTGCGACGAGGGTGGACAGCAGTCCACCATGTCGCCGCCTCGCTCGACCTCCATGTCGCATACCACTCCCGCGTAACCCGCCACATTGGCGAACCGGCCCGCCGGCCGCCGCGACGCGACGCCGCACTTCGGTCGGCGGCTCGGTGACGTGAGGCGGGCCACCGTCACCTTTTTGGACGCTTCCGATCACTTTACCTCCATGCGAAAGCCTACCCGACTTTCGACGCGTTTACAGACTTTTACAAACGCTTGCTTTTCTGCTGCAATGTTCTTCACAACCTTCCGCGAACGACAGTCCTCTGCGACATCTTAATCCAAAATGTAGCACCCACCTTCGCACTGTCACTCGAACTTTGATCGCGAATCTTAAAGCTGACTTCGCTTCCGTCCACCAGCTCTTCGATACTCCCACCGGTGTTTACGCTGATAAGATACAAGCCTGTCAGTTTTAACTTTCAATGGGTTTAGCTTTAAACAGCGTTCTTTTTCTAATGCTGCAAAGCTATTTCATCATAGTTTTGAACGAAACATCAAATAATTATACGTTAAACATGGTCACTTATAAGGGATGCATACACACTGCAAAGAGCTAACGCGTCACCATCCTACCTCCACATTAACTCAAACTTCTTTCCAACTTTCTCCGAGTTACTCGTCTGCGTCAAGCAGTGTGAATATCCATAATGATACGCACTCTTATTTATGTTGTCACTAGTAGAGTTCCACTGTTAGTTTGAAGTAATCTGCAAGACATGAAATGGTCTGAACTTCCTGAAACGCCCCAAATCAATACAAATTCAAGTTAAAGCTGCATTGGATTCCAAAACATAGTCTACCATACAAGCCATTTCGGACTACGCAATCTGCCCCTGCCGCAAATACGTGTTTCTCCCTTTAAGTGTTGGTCGGCACTGTCGCGGTACAGGCAAAGATGTTTCTGATTGGATCAGCACTGCCAACGCAAATGCGCTAGGTCCCGGCCAATTAGCCACAACCAGCCAGTTGGCAGCGCGCGTACTGGAGTGTACGTTTACACCCTAGTCTTGCTCTGCACAGGGGTCTGGGATGAAGAAAGTTACCGGTGCAACTGACAGTTTTTTATTCGTCGCTAAAGATTCTCTACTGGACCATGTGCATCATGTCTGCTCATTACGCTTCCTACGTTGACAGTTGGGATTGAGGCACGTAAATACCGTGTGAGCGAGGTTTGTGTTCGCTTTTATTCAGCACCATGCTGAACTTGCCGCCTGGCAGTTGGCATGGCATTCGCAATCTACAAAACATGACGAACCTGTACAGGGTTTGCTATGCCAGGGTTGTGGCAACACGTCTAGTTTAGGGCGGCGTTTATAGTTATCTTGGCTGGAATGCCTGAGTGTGACAGCCGAATGAGAAAACATGGAATTTCTGAACTGAACATGTCGAATGTGTATAAGGAAAATATGCGCGTTAAAGGAAATGTTCCACGTTTTAAATGTTAAAGCAAATGCCAGATACGGTGAATTAAACTAACTTATAACCGTGAATATACTTATAGGTGGAAAAGACTGCAACAGGCAATACGGCCTCTCAAACTAGTAAATACGTTTCTCAGTGCGACATTGTTTGATTGTGCCATCTCACCTTGCACAACATTGGTCGGAAGTCAATTCAGAGCTGTTATATCGGAAAATCTTGGTCACAAACGCCAGCTATAAACGACTCGACTGTTAAATTTGTATTGGCCTTGATCGCTGCGTGGCTAGTGGAATGACAGGATTGAGGTAACTTCATTATTGCATTATGGATACTTGCGTAACCTTGAAGTAGCTCCCCCGAAATAGTCTTCACACATCCACGGGCGCGTAATTCCGAAACTAGAGGAGTTCAGGCCTTTAAAAGGGCAAGACCGTGAACTGCACCGAATGACCTTCAATATGGCTATTTTAGTTTAAAACCCCATACAAATGTGGAACGCTCCCATTAAGAAGGGCTGGGCTGTGAATTGTACCGAATAATCTTCAATGTAGCTTGTTCTGTTCAAAACCTCATACAAATGTGGAATACTCATTGGAATATGTAGTAAAAAGTCCGGTCTCTAGTGCCTATAAATGGGCATGGGTGTGTAAATCCGTGATAAAAGTGTCAACAGAACAACCTGTATATCTACTTAAGTTGAAAATACACAAATCAATAAAGGTGGTAGAGCTGGTGATGGTTTTTGGACCTTGGAGTTTTCTCTTAAACTTATGAAGTTTAGTAGCCGAATGTATTTGTCTTCGTCACCTGCCTGACATTACCATTTTAACTTCTGAGCCCATAAAATGTTTAAACGATGAGCTTAATTCCTTCCATTAAGTGTCCAAGAAGGAAAATACGCTTGCTGAATCATAGTTCAAGTTAGGTACCGACCCCATTTCTACCGAATTTATGCTACAAATACATGGTCTTGTATTATTTTAATGGGATCCCAAGTTTCTGATAATCCGCTTAACAGTATTTTTTCTTATTGGTTCGCATCACTGCAGAGGAACTGAGCTCACACTATTGCTGATACCGGACCTATCACATTTATCCATGCTGTGCCTTATTGCGAGTCTTGAAAGGTAAAAAAAGGAGAAAGAGGCAATGTTCTGATGTCATTGAGTTATCTCAGCCAAGTGTGATTCGTGTTTTTTTTTCCATGTCGGTGGTGTATGTAATACTTGAGCCTATACTACTGGGATATCTTACTAATGTCATGCACATGCGTCTGTTGTTAACGCCAAGCCATATTCCAGAGAAGTCAAATGCATTCTTAGAACCCACTGAGATTACAACCATTTGTTCAATGAAAGTAAATCCTTAAATAAATTAAGGCATACCAAAAGTATCACGTTCAGTTCACACGTTGTAAGACTATGTAAATTGACAGCCGATCATCAGGGATTCACATGGTCAATTTGTTCCTGAAACGGATGGAATCGGTGAGATGAAAGCATTTTGAACAGAGGGTTTGGGGGAGATGGGGTTCTAGATTAGCCAGACACAGACTGGACCTGATTGTAGAAATCCCGTCAGCAAAAAAGCGGGCGAAATTCACAACCCCTGTTCTTGTGGTCCCACCATCCCCGTCTCGCGCACGCACTGGCTGTGCTCCACATAGAGCTACGTCGTATTGCCGAAAGGTCCGCGGGAGTTGATGGTCTGTCGCGGCCACGCCGGCCACAGACCTGAGCCGCTAATCTCGCCTGGTCTGGTTCTGACAAACCATTATCCGTGTGTGCCTGCGCACAGCGCACGTCTGTGGCTGGCCGCCCGCTCCGCGTCCTCCGAGAGGATGGGCTGGCCGGGATGCGGGGGGGGGGGGGGGTCTGAAGTCTGGTATGAAATATGGTGACAACGCCGCACATTTTGCAACTTACCTTTGCTTTTATATCAGATAACGTGCTCCAAACATTTCATGCTGATAAGCATACATCTCCATTTTCCTGTATCATCATTCATTTCTCAAAAAAGCATCCGAGGGATCATGTAACAGTGCTGAATTAATACAATTGCTTTTGGGCTATTTTATGGTGGTACTAGCTGCCCAGGTAATGCTGCAATGTTATGCTTATATGTGTTGAATATTTCAACACCACAATTGGACCACAGCAATGCAAGCACTCCTGCAATGAAAAACAGTAAGGTTTTCAGGATCAATACTAAACAAAACTGAGAACAACGGTGGCTAGCCACTCATCCCGCAGCACTCAACAGCCGGTAGCCTATGCCACACTCTTCGTAGTTGACTCGCTGTGCAGTAACTGAATCATTTTGTGATCAATTATAATGCAGAGCGCTTAAAATGAGCCATCATGTGCAAGCTGTGAGATTGTGTGATTTGGCAACAACATAACGTATACCAGTTCAACCTAGATGCGTGCGAAAATGCTTAAAAACAACCCGATCTTACAGCCCCAGTCCTACTACACTGAGCTTCAAGCGTTTTACGGTTGATAAACGCGATTACACTTAATCGTCACAATCACACTAAGGATGCCGCTGGCACAGCATTGCCAGCTTGAGGCACAACCTACTAATTTGGTCTTGATCCCGATTTGGGTATGCTTATAATACGTTTTGATGCATACCAGTCAAAACTTTGGAGTGCCCAGTGTTCTACTGCCCTGCGCGGGATGGTTATGATCTGCGGGCTGAGGGCCCATGTTCGCCAACGCTGCCTCTGCTCTCGGTGGTGACGGGGAAAGAGCCGCAGACGGGACAGATCTGGTGGGCCTCGTGGCACAGTGGGCGCAGCAGACCTAGCGGACATATGAGCAACCGCGCCATACCGGCCATGCTGACGGGGAACGAGCCGCAGACGGGACAGATCTTGTGGGCCTCGTGGCACAGTGGGCGCAGCAAACCTAGCGGACATATGAGTAACCGTGCCATACCGGCCACGTTGCGAGCAATTGTTTATGGGTCGTATACGGCGCTAACATGGAAGCAAATATATTGCGGCTAAGATTTGTTGCATTAGATTATTGCGC